GGTAGTCTTACGGGAGGCTTAGGGTAGGTCAACGGTAGGTCTATTACAGGCGGTAGATCTAAGGTCGTCTTGCAGCAGGTCTACCATAGGCTTATGGTGGATCCAATAGTAGTCCCACCTAAGGCTTGTGGCAAATCTATGGTCAACCTGCAGCAGGTGTACTGGTCAGCCTATGGTCGGCATTCCGCATACCCAGGTTAGGCCAACGAGTAGGCTCTGGTAGGCTGTATCCTGGCCTGGCGATGAGGCTACAGTACCACCCGGGGGAACACCACTTCTCTTCGATCATTCGGCGAGCCGGGATACCATGCATTCACGATAAAACAGAAACACGTTTGAATGTGATAAAACAAGAGCGCAGGCCCTCGGGATATTGCCTGTAAAGAGGCGAAACGTTAAATGTGCGCGGACTGATGATTGAGTGTCGGCGGGCGCGACATTCAGTATGATCGAACGGCACATCAAGACCCAACAGGAAGGGCATTCAATGTAAGCGGGTGGGACATTGCGCGCATACTTGCGGGAACACTGACAGCTAGCGGCCAGAGCAAACATGATCGACCCACGAACCCGGAAAGATATTAAAAACTGCGAGGCATGGAAACGTTTCTCAGGACCTCAATCGCATGTGCAATCGGGAGACTTCTGAAGATTGAGAAGTATCCCACAGGGCAGTTCCATATTCAAGAATCGATCAAGCTCGGAGGCTTTGATCCCCAGCAGTATCGTGATCTCTGACTGGTAGTTGATCGCACCCTTGGTGCGCAGTATGGCTTGGCACAGGGTTGCATTGAACACCAGCAATGCAAGATTCACTGGGTTTGAGATGCCCTGCCTTAGAGGTCGTCCGCACAAAATTCCTTGGCTGCAGTGAGTCTGCACACCGAGGTTGGACACGTTGGTACTGTCATGTTCTGGTCGTCCTTCACTCCTGGAGGCAGTCTTCGTGGCTCTAGAGCTTTGGAACCTATTCTAATCATCGGTGCAGCCGTTGGAGCAACTCTCACGTCCGTGTGCATCAAAATCTCAGTACTGACTGCCTCAACTCCCAAGTCTGCCGTACTGAAGCCACGGGGACGCGCCGCGGAACGTCCAAAGGAACGTGCCAGCGGACATGCCAGGGGACGTGCCATGAGGTCGCACCGCGGGACGTGCCAAGGGGACGCGCTACGGAACGTGCCAATGGACTTGCCACGGGACGTGCCACGGGACGTGCCAGGGGACGCGCCGCGCGACGTGCCAAGGGGACTCGCCACGGGACGTGCCACGAGACGTGCTAGGGAACGTGCCAGGCGACGCGCCAGGGGACGTGCCTGGGAACGCGTCAGGGAACGTGCCACGGTACGTCCGTGACCCAGAACAAGGATCCGTCATAAATTACGCTGCGTCCGCGCTCCCAGGGCCACGACCCATTGTGAATTGCGCTGCGTTCGCGCCCCCAGGGCCACGATCCCTAGTACATTATGCTGCGTCCGCCTCCCTGGCCACGATCCCTTGCAAACTACGTCGCGTCCGCGCTCCGAAGGCCGCGCTCCCTCGTGAAGTGCGACGTGTCCGCGCTCCCAGGGACACGTTCCCCAGTAAATTGCACCGTGTCCGCCCCCCCCACGGCCAGGATCCCTCGTAAATTACGCTGCGTCCGCGCTCCCAGGGCCACGACCCATCAGACACTGCGTTTCGCCCGCGCCTCCAGGGCCACGATCCCTGCTAACTTTCGCTGCGCCCGCTCTCCCTGGGCCACGATCCCTCGCAAGCTGCGCTGCGTCCGCGCTCCCAGGGCCGCGCTCCCTCGTGCATTACTCTGCGTCCGCGCTCCCAGGGCCACGCTCCCGAGTAGGTTGCGCTATGGCCGGGCCCCCAGGGCCACCTGGACGTCCTGGGGCGCACAGGCCGCCCAAGTTCTGCAAGACAAGTGTTTCGCTCGAGACACCCTCAGATGTGCGGCGCGCAGGGCGCGCCACCATCGAGCGGGCACGCGAGACACCTACTGGTCTCCATGGTCTGACAGGTCTCGATGCCTCCAGGCGTCGTGTTTTATCGCAGATTCTGTACAACATGCTCCACATTCCGCTTTTTCGGTGGAACATGGGGGTTTGCGAACCCCTTTATTTATCGAGGATCCAAGATGAGGGGCGCACTTTCCCCGAGCGGGCACGCACGAAACGCACTTTTCCACGCCAGACTGAACTTGATCTCGTTTCTAACGAGCGGGAATTCGCCAGCCCTCTTCAAGTCGTCCCCGGGGGTGAAATCAACTCAAAGAAAACCCTGGGCCTATGCGCCTTTTCCGCGAGCGACCCCAGTTAGGGGATAGCCGACTGCATGGGCGTATCGCTGGGCGCATCGCTTGGCATTGCTTGGCATTGCTTGACATGGCGTGGTATTGTCTTGCATAGGCTAGCATTGTTTTGCATGGGTTGGCACTGCTTGGCATTGCTTGACATTGCTTGCCGTTGCTTGCCATTGCTTGGCGCTTGCCATTGCTTGGCATTACTTGGCATGTATTGGCATCGCTTGGCACTGCTTGACATTGCGTGGCATTGTTTTGCATGGGTTGGCATTGTTTTGCATTGCTTGGCGTTTCTTGGCTTGCTGGGTTTGTGTGCGATCTGAGAAACTATCGCCACTTTCGAGGGCTGCTGGCTGGTCCAGCGGAGTGAGGCACCGCGCAGATCTGATCGGGACCTCGCCGTCCTTGGGGGGCTCAGATCTGCGAAACTGTCGCCACATTCGAGGGCTGCTGGCTGGTCCAGCGGTGTGAGGCACTGCGCAGATCTGAGCGGGACCTCGCCGTCCCTTGGGGGCTGCGATCCGCGAAACTGTCACCACTTTCGAGGGCTGCTGGGGGGGGGGGGCTGGGGACCTCGCCATCCGTGGGTGGGGGGGGGCTGCGAAGTGTGACGCTGTGGCAGCTTTTGAGGGCTGCTGGCGGGGACCAGCACTGTTGGGTCCCACGCGGGCCTCGAGAACCTCACCATCCTTGGGGGGGGGGAAGCTGGCCGCGCAGGTGTTCAGCATTTCGGTGGAAAAACGCGGCACTTCATTCTCTGGTTGCGTCTCCGCCTATGTAACCATGTCTTGCCCATGCTCCATCGTCTCGCTGCTTCTGGATGTCTTCTTTTTGCTTCTCCTTCCCAGTGCAATGCCTCCTGGCCTTTTGTACGTCTGTTCTGCGAGTCGGCCGCGCACACTTCGCACGATATAGATATCCGCCGTGCGCCGTCTCTTGCAAAGTTGCTGTCGCGCGATTGTCGGCACACCTGATCTCATCCCTTGGTGCCGATGGGTTGGGTACGTCGCAGGTATTTTTCGATTGTAATGTCCTTGGAAGTGTTGCAGCCGCTCCGTGAATCCGCCACGCCACTGCAATCGGTTTCTGGTGTGGGCGTCAACCCGAGGAGGAGAGCAGATCAGTAAGGGGGAGTGGAAGATGGAGGGGGACGAGGGCGAGAAAGGTGGAAAGGGGGAGGGATGGTGAATTGTGCCCCTGCCACACTTTGAATTAGAGAGTGTTTGGCGAAAACAATGACGACGTGAAGAAGGAGGAGGGGGAGAGGAGGAGGAGGAGGAGGAGGAGGAGGAGGAGGAGGAGGAGGAGGAGGAGGAGGAGGAGGGGAGGAGGAGGAGGAGGATGGAGGAGGAGGAGGAGGAGGAGGAAGGAGGAGGAGGAGGAGGAGGAGGAGGAGGAGGAGGAGGAGGAGGAGGAGGAGGAGAGGAGGAGGAGGGGAGGAGGAGGAGGAGGAGGAGGAGGAGGAGGAGGAGGAGGAGGAGGAGGGAGGAGGAGGAGGAGGAGGAGGAGGAGGAGGAGGGGAGGAGGAGGGGGAGGAGGAGGAGGAGGGGAGGAGGAGGAGGAGGAGGAGGAGGAGGAGAGAGGAGGAGGAGGAGGAGGAAGAGGAGGAGGAGGAGGAGGAGGAAAAAGAGGGGAGGAGGAGGTTGAGGATTCCCCTCCTTCTTCCCCTTCACCCCCCTCCTTCCCTTTTCCTGTGGCCTGCTTGTTCCTCCCTGTCCCTGTTCCTCCCCCTTGCCGTTGCCTTTGCATCCGTCCTCGTTCTCGTCGTCGTCTTTGTCGTCGGCCTCCTCCGTAGCCGTTTTAGGTCAAGATTCGTATTGAGGCTCTTCCCGTGCTCCTCGTGCCAGGATGAGCCGCTTGCGGCACGTGAGGGCCATCTCCCTCGACGTCACCGGCACCCTGATCCGACACCTTGACCCTATGCGGCGGCGAGCAAGCGGATGCAGGGGGGTCTGACTGGGGGCGGATATGGGTTCCACCGCCGCGTAACGCAGCGGAGGAGGAGGAGGAGGAGTAGGAGGAGGAGGAGGAGGAGGAGGAGGAGGAGGAGGAGGAGGAAGAGGAGGAGGAGGAGGAGGAGGAGGAGGAGGAGGGGGGGGGAGGAGGAGGAGCTTGGGTGGTTCGCAGCTGCTACCTGCGGCTTCGGCCCCGCCGCTCAGCTCCTTCATCGATGCACGGGCGTGGTGGCTCGTGGCGCCTGGAGGGACAGCTACATGCAGCCGATTCTCCGATTCCCGCTTTGCTACCCCTGCCCTGCCTTTCGTCACCCCTGGTTCTAAGAAGGCAGGGTGCCTCTTAGAAGCAGGCGGCCCGTGAACAACCAACGGGGGCCTTCTGGAAGGCTGTCCCTGTGCCCGTTGCTCTGCTCCCTGTTGCTCGCCGCATACCCATACCAGAAACTTACTGCCAGGCCCTTGTTTGGTCTGGCTTCCCCCATCGCCTTACCCCAGCGGAGCTCAAGGCGCCTTTCAAGGCCGCGTACAGGAAGACATTGGAGGACTTTCCTTGCTTCGGGGCGACCGCTGGTCTCAGCAGTCGACAGTGGTGGGTTCGGTGCGTCAAGCGGTGCTTGGCGGAGGCGGGCCTGGACGAAGAAGGCGTTCCAAGCCGCGCTCCAGGCGACGTTCGGGGCACCTACTCGAGCGCAGAGTTCAACCGCTGGTTCCGACGGGTGTACCAACACTACGGCTGCCCCGCGGGGTACGTGCCAATGCCGGACGCGCTGCCGTTTCTGAAGTGGGCGACGGAGCAGGGTTTCCTTCTCGGGGTGACTACCAACACACCAAGCCGCACCATTCGAGCAGGGGATCGTCCACAGAGCTTATTCACCCCATGTTTTTTCCGCCGAGTCATACGTGTAATGTTCGTAGATCTACGAGCACTCTGCGCAGCTTTCGTGGACTCGGCGGGCAGATCACTTCCGGGGTAGACCAATTCCGTTGTCGATCCCCTGCTCGAGCCATGGACTCGGTGCTCCCGTTCATGGGCCTGCACCAGTACTTTCGCTGCTTCACGTGCTCGCAGGACGTGGGCGTAGAGAAGCCTGACCGTGGCATCTTTGATCACAGTTTTGCGGAGATGCGTACAGCTGCCAGCATGATCTCAGGGAGCGCTGGCGGCGCAGAGGGTGCTTTCTGTGACGAGGTCCGAGAGTTCGACCCCGAGTCTTTCAACAGAGCGCGAGTCCAGCTGGTCAACCGGTACGAGAGGCCCCGGTGCCCCTGCTTCCTGCTTCCTCCCCATCCGTCCTCAATGTGCAATTCCCTCTCCTCTTCCATCCTCTGTCTTCATCCTCATTAGTAATTCTTTATCGTCGAACTGTGAGACACGTCGGTAGGGCGGGTCGGTCGTTTCGCCAGAGACATCATCACAGTATATGGTCCGATCGTTTGCGACTTGCTCAAATCTGCGCGAACGGAGGGCGGCACGTTTCCACATACCGAGCTCTGCCGTCTGGATCATCTCCAACTACTGCATGGGGAGAGGTCGGAGTGCTTTCGAAACCGAGCGAGCGCTTGATTCCTCTTCGCATAGTGTGCTTCTAAAGCTTGTAGGTTCGAGTGGTTAGACGTAATGTAAACGGCTGAGCTTTGAGCATCGAGCTCGCTCTTGATATGTGTAGCATGTCGATTGCACTAACATCAAAGACTGTATTGATACGACTGTAAACGGAAAGAGGGTGATACCTTTCATATTCGTGCTGTCGTTCGAGATTGCCTTACATCTGTTGAGTCTGATGCTTGTAGCTTTCAACTGTCACGTCACACGTATTGATGAATGAAGGGGTGTTTTCAATGTCGCGCTGTCGTTGTACAGCATATTTCATTTTCTCAAGGAGGGAAAGCGGCACCCGTCCAAACACACTGTGTCATGGTGCATGATGATTTTTTACTGGGGAATAAAGGAGGACCCTTACAGACAAGCTGTTCCGGGGACAAGAAGGAAAATATAGTGCATCATCCAGATTCGCTGGCCCTCAGAGATCCCCGGTTTTCGCGCGCGGTTTGCCTATATGTTGCTCTCGATTCGCGACTCAGGCTTCGACGTCACGATTGTTTCGTGACATGGCCCCCCCCAGAGATCTCGACTTTTCCCATGGGCAAGGTTTTCACCCAGAATCGATGTTTATGGTCCTGGGGCTTGAAAGCGGAATTTGGGCGTACCAACCAAACCATCCTGAAGTTTTGGGTTTTCGTTTTGAAGACAGAGCGCCCCGCGTCCTTCTTCTCCTCTCCTCTCCTGTCCTCTCCTCTGCTCTCCTCCCCCTCCTCCTTCGTCCTCTCATTCCTGCCTCTGCCGTCCGCATGTCCACTACGGCACACCCCTTACATATTTCGCGGCCCCAGAGGGAGCTCTACCGACGGCCCAAGTAGCAGTGCTCGCATGCGTACCCCGCACCAATTTTGGTACACCCCTCACAATTTCCGTGGCCCTATAGGGATCTCCACCCAAGACCCCACTGGCGTAGCCCGCATGCGTCCCAGCCACCCACGTCAGCACATCCTTCACACGTCTCGGGGCCCCATAGGGAGCTCCACCGAAAGCCCCAGTGGCAGTGCTCGTACGCGTCCCCCGCACCCATGTGGGCACACGCTTTACATGTCGTGGCCTCATAGGGAGCTCCACCGGATGCGCCAGTTGCAGTGCTCGCGTGCGTCCTCTGCGCCCATGTCGGCACAACCCTCACACGTTTCGTGGCCCCATAGGGAGCTCCACCGAAGGCCCCAGTGACAGTGGTCGCATGCGTCCCCCGCTCCTCTGTCGGCACAACCCTCAAATGTGTCGTGGCCCCATCTGGAGCTCCACCGAAGGCCCCAGTGGCAGTGCTCGCAGGCGTCCCCCGCGCATATTTCAGCACACCCCTCACACTGTTCGTGGCCCCATAGGGAGCTCCACCGAAGGCACCAGTGGCAGTCGGCACACCCCTCGCACGTTTCGTGGCCCCGTTTGGAGCTCCACCGGAGGCCCCAGAGGCGGCGCTCGCACGCGTCCCCCCCCCGATCGTGACCCCACTGGGAGCTCCACCAGATGCGTCAGTGGCAGTGCTCGCATGCGTCCTCCGTGCCGATTTCGGCACACCCCTCACACGTTTCGTGGCGCCATAGGGAGCTCCACCGAAGGCCCCAGGGATGGTGTTCGCATGCGCCCCCCCTTCCCCGATCGTGGTCCCATATAGAGCTCCACCGAAACCCCCCACCCGCCCATTTCGGCACACCCCTCACACGTTTCGTGGCCCCATATGGAGCTCCATTGAAGGCGCCAGTGGCGGTGTTCGCATGCGTCCCCCCCTCCCATGGCGGCACACCCCTCACGCCTGATGTGGCTTCATAGTGAGCTCCACCGAAGACGATGCTCACAACTGCGCTACTCACATCTGCATACGGTTGGGTTCTTCGCCAGGCTACTTTTCGGGAAACGGCAAGATCGGACAACTTTACGACGTCGGATGTCTTCGTATACGTTCGGGGGTGCGTTCTGGCCAGAGTCTCGAGGCGACTCCAGCCGCGGCCACGCGGGCGCCCCAGGAAGTCCCAGACTCGCCCCGCGTCCTGCAGCCTGTGATCAAAGATGTTGCAAAGCGCCCAGAACCGTCGATCCCCGATCCCCTCCCCCTCGTCGATCCTCGATCCTCGATCCTCGGTTCCTCCTCCCGCTCCTCCTCCTCCTCCTCCTCCTCCTCCTCCTCCTCCTCCTCCTCCTCCTCCTCCTCCTCCTCCTCCTCCTCCTCTATCCACGAATCTTCCTCCTCCTTCCTCGACCCCTCCTTGTCGATCCTCGCGCCGTCGATCTTCGGGCCCTCCTCGCGCCCGAGGCTGCTGCGGGCTGCGGGCGAGCTGCAGCCAGACCAGGTCCTGCACGTCGGCGACAGCCTTGCCGCGGACCTGTGCGGCCCGCGCGCCGCGGGCTGGCTCGGGGTGCACGTGGACCGCAGCTCGGACCCGAACGTGCGCGTGTACCAGGACCGCAGGAGGGGAAACGAGGAGGAGGAGGAGGAGGAGGAGGAGGAGGAGGAGGAGGAGGAGGAGGAGGAGGAGGAGGAGGAGGAGGAGGAGGAGGAGGAGGAGGAGGGGGAGGAGGAGGCGGCGACGCTGTTTTCGTCTTCGCCTCCTTGGGCCTCCCGGGAGGCGCTCGTCGCCGCGGCCAGGAGCGCCCCGGCATATGCAGGTCAGCGGATCGGATGCCCGGAGAGGTCGGGGGGGAGCAGCGGCCTCGTGGCCCTCCCGTTTCTCCCGCAGGGTCCCCCTCTCGTCGCGGAGAGAGTCGAGGCGGCTCTCTTGCCCTCCTCCTCCTCCTCCTCCTCCTCCTCCTCCTCCTCCTCCTCCTCTTGCCCAGTCTCGGGCTTCTGGGGGCCGCTGCTGGGCCCCCGGGCAGCGTCGGTGTGGACGGCCCAGGGCGGAAGGGAGTGGCCCCTGGGAGGATGGGGCCGGGAGCTCGAGCTCCACGGGCCCGCGCGCCACGAATGACGAGCCAGCAGCACCCACCCATGCCCACAGGGGGGGTCGGAGAGGGCTACGGGTGCGTGTTGTCGGAGGGGGGCCCCCGCCCGAACGGGAGCGTTCCCCAGGGTCCGACAACCCGCACCCATCCCCATAGCCAGTCCTCCTCCCAACGACCCCCCTGTGAGGATGGGTGTGTGCAGTTCGTTCGTCCACGAAGGCGACGGGTGTGCACGCGGGCCGCAGCTTCGACGGCGGGAGCACAGTGAACGCAGCTGTCTGCCTCGCCGGCCTCTGCCGCGCGACGTCGGGGCGGCCCTCGCGACGCACCGCCGCTCTCCGCGCGCCAAGGCGGGCACCCCGTGGACAGGCGCGCGTTGAGCGTCGCGCGGTCGCACGCGCAGGCGCCTTCGAGATGATATCTCCAGGGATTTGCAGTCAACCATGATGGTAAGGATGGGGCAACTTTCCCAAGGCTGCCCTTGCATCCTTGCCCCTTCGGTATTCGGCATCCTTCGGCATTCTGCTGCGCTCCGCACGGGAAACGTCAACATGGCGTCCCAAGGCTCTTGCATCCTTACCGCGCATCCTTCCTATCCTGGTCGAGTGTATTCCGACGGTATGGCCCCGCATGATAATCCTCTCTGCTCCTCTGGAAATACCCCTCATCGTCGTCCTCGTGATGGGTGAGGCGCCCTCACTGTCTCCCCTGCGTCATTGTCATTCTCCTTCTCGCCCTGGCACATGGGCCCGAAAGTGACGACAGTTGCAGGGTTCGGACGACCCGCTTGGATTAGTAACATGATGTGCGGGTCCCATGGGGAGGGGGCGGGCCCAGGGGCTCAGGAATGGAGCGAAAAGCTGGGGTCACCTTGGGCCTGGGTCACCTTGAGGTTCCCTTGAAATCAGAGCCCCGAATCATCAGGGGTAACTCGGGTCAGGGCTAACTCGGGTTCCTTTTTCGGGAATCCAAACCCGAGTTACCCCGGACCCGAGTTACCCCGGATAACTCGGGCGCCCAATGAAAATGGATGCGGAAAGAATGGGGACAGCGACCGAAAGCACCGCCGGCTCACTCCGAGCTGGGCTCGCTGTCGTTGTCGCCGCGGGCGCTGTCCGTTCGAAACAGGAAGCCGCCTGCCCAACAGGGGCTGCTATCGGTTTCGGGCAACATTTTGTCGTTGGGCATCGTACCCGTTCTGTTCCGCACCCATGCCAGGCTAGGGGGCCACATGCGAACCCTACCCCTTACCCCACACGATTTCCGAGGGGGAGTGTCGGGGGTGCACTTCGTTCGGGAGCTCCCGAGCGAAGTGAACCCCACCCTCCCCCTCAGAAATCGTGAGGGGTAGGGGTAGGGTTCGCATGTGGCCCCCTACGGTTATGTCGGGCGTGTCCCCCTACAGGGGGATTGTTGAAGAACAATAAACAATACACCAAAAATACCCCAAAATGGTCAACAAATACCGCACAAATAGTCCCTAGACTATTTTTGGACATTTATGTGTATATATATATATATATATGTATATATATATATATGTATATATTATCAATACTATTGCTGTTATTATTATTATTATTATTACTATTATTATTATTATTATTATTATTATTATTATTATTTATTATTATTATTATTATGATTATTATTATTATTATTATTAGTATCATTATTACTATTATTACTATTATTACTATTATTATTATTCGTATTATTATTAATATTATTATTCGTCGACAATCCCCCTGTAGGGGGACAGGCCCGACTCAACCCTACGGGCGTCCGAATCCTCCAGAGCTGCTGGACCTCAGAGATCTCTGATGCTGTCTCTGTCTGATGCTGTCCATGCCCCGACCTCGTCGCGCCCTCGCCTGCGCCGCCCTCGCCCAGCCCAAGACTGGCCCTATGTCGGGTGTGTCCCCCTTATAGGGGGATTTTCGACGAAAAATAGGAAATACCCCCAAAATACACCCCAAAGGTCAAAACATATGTAAAAAATAGTCTCCAGACTATTTTTGGATTATTTTTGGATTATTTTTGGTGTATTTTTCTTTTTGCGTCGAAAACCCCCCTGTAGGGGGACAGGCCCGACTTAAGACTGGCCGCGCGCAGGGAGGGGCGGGGGCAGGGGGGAGGGCTTCCTAGACTTAAGTCGGGCCTGCCCCTCTACAGTGGGAATCTGTACACATATATATGTATATGTATATGTATGTATATATATATATATATATATATATATATGCATGCATATTTATATATGAATATGCATGCATCTTTATATATACATATATATATATATACATATGCATATATACATATACACATATATTCATATATGTATATATATATATATATATATATATATATATATATATATTCAACAATGTCAAACAAATAGTATGGGGATGATTTTTTGTTGGTATGTTTGACAATCCTTGGAGCATTTTCTTGAGTATATTGAGGTTTCCGTCCAAAATCCCCCTGTAGGGGGGACAGGCCCGACCTAGCCCTAGACGCACCCCTCTTCTGCTCAGAGGGCACGGGCCTTCTGCGCAGGTGTGGGGCCCGCGCCTTCGAAGGAGCAGGCTCCTTCCGGGATGCCCCCCCCTCGCTCCACCCCCTCGCGCGCGCCGCCCAGCCTCAGGGGCAAGGACAAGGGAGGATGGGCTCCGGGGGGAGGCATCGACCCCCAGTCGCCGACTTCTCTCTGATAGGGGACCGATTGCCCCAGCCTGCCCAGGAACGTTCGGATGGGCCCTCGAGGGCCTGTCCCCGATCTGTCGGCGATGCATCACCGATTCCAGGTCGACGTTTCCCCCTCTATGCCAGTCCCCCTTCATCGTCACCCCTCACAGACTGGACCAGTAATCTGAGGTCAGACAGTACACTCAAGCATCTATCGGATCCATGGCAAAGCGGTAATCCATTTTGTTCCATTGGTCCCATAGATGTTCGAGTAGTTGCGCACCGCACCGGGCCTCAAGTGTGCCAAAATTGGCAGACCTAGATATGAGCATCAATCGCAGGGAAACTAATAGCATGGGCCACGTGTATTTTTTTAATGTTCGAAGTTCGCAGTACAGGAGGCATCTGGGGTTGGCCGCGGTGCTGTGGAAGCTGGGGAACAAGAGGAAGTGACACAACAAATTGGGAGTCGTCCTATTGTTTAACAGTGATTGTACAACTGACTGTCCATGCGCCACAAAACGCGGGTGCCCGAGGATTGCCTGACGGGGCTGGAGCGGATACGCTCGGGGGATCGCGCCGCATCGCCGGTGCATCATCCATCGGCGGCGCGGCGCGATCGGGAGCACGGTTTTCTCCATCCCGACGTCGCCGAGGCAGCGCCGACTCGCCGCCCATGCTGTGTGACCTGGTGTCCCCATCTGCTGTGGCCCCACGTTGGTGGCCTCCCGCGGCTGGCTCGAGTGGAAGAATGGATGGCAGTTTTTGGGTGTTTGTCTGGGCTGTTGCCAGAGCTGGGCTCGAACAACTCGTTCGGACGGTGTCCACGTGGGGTTCTAGGGGCCGATCTTGAGCTGATGCTGATAGGTGGCGGAGGGGGCGGACAAGAGGGAGAGATGGGGGAGGGTAAGAGGGAGAAGGGGTAGGCTCCCCTGGTGAAGGGAAGGGAAGGGAAAGATGACGAGCAGTGGGATGCGAGGAGGTGGATGATGATGATGATGATGATGATGATGATGATGATGATGATGATGATGATGATGATGATGATGATGATGATGATGATGATGATGCTGACGCTCCTGTTGATGATGGTGCCTATGATGCTGCTGCTGATGATGATGATGATGATGGTGATGGTGATGATGATGATGATGATGATGATGATGATGATGGTGATGATGATGATGATGATGATGATGATGATGATGCGGATGCTGATGATGATGATGATGATGATGATGATGATGATGATGATGATGATGATGGTGATGGTGATAATGATGATGCGGATGCTGATGATGCTGATGATGATGATGATGATGATGATGATGATGATGATGACGATGCTGCTTCTGATGATGCGGCTGCTGATGATTATGATTCTGATCATACTACTGACGATGATGAGTGATTGATTGACGAGTTATGCTTCTGATGAGGTGGAGGGGGAGGAGGAGAAGGACTAGGAGGAGGAGGAGGTCGAGGAGGAAGAAGAATAGGAAGAGGAAGAGGAGGAAGAGGAGGAGGAGGAAGAAGATGAGGAGGTAGTCCGTTTCACGCCAGAGGACTGGCTGGAGGGGCCCGACTACGAGGGGAAGAGCGAGTCGGACGTGCGAGAAAACACAGTATTTAGCCTCGCAGACGTCCGCCTCATGTTGGAGAACTCCATGTGAGCCCTGAGGCGGTTGAAAACCGGCTGTCCTTTCCGCCTCCCTCCTCGGCGTTCCATCTCCATCCTATGCCTACCATTCCTACGCCTCCGCCGATCCTCCCTCCTTCGTCTCCGCCTCTCATCCCCACATAGTTCCTTGTTCGTTGTTCTCCCTTTCCTCCTCAGTCTCCAGCTTTTCGGAATTTCCACTGGAAGCTGAAAGCAGACCGCGCCCCAATTGATTGATTCGTACTCATCGGTCACGTTCGCAACGCGCCCAGATGACCACCTCCGCGACCCTCAACCATTCACGCATCTCTCTCTCTCTCTCTCTCTCTTTCGTTCTTTCTTTATTCCCAATCATCCTGTGGTGTTGAGTCCTCGTTTTGAAGAGACAGCGCCCCGCGTTCTCCTCTCCTCCTACTCTCCCTCCTCCTTCCCATCACACGAATCGTGGCCCCAGAAGGAGGTCCACCAGTGGCACCGTTCGCATGTGCCCCCCCACCCATTTCGGCACACCCCTCTCACGATTCCTGGCCCAAAAGGGAGCTCCACCAAAAGGTCGCAGGGGCACCGTTCGCATGCGTCCCCCCGCTCATTTCGGCATTCCCCTCACACGATTCGTGGCCCAATGGGGAGCTCCACCGAAGGTCCCAGTGGCACCGTTAGATGCGTTTCCCCCACCCATGTGGGCACACCCCTCACACAGTTCGTGGCCCCATAGGGAGATCCACCGAAGGTCCCAGTGCCACCGTTCGCATGCGCCCCCCCCGCTCATTTCGGTACACCCCTCAGACGGTTCGTGGCCCCATACGGAGCTTCACGAACTACATTTGTGGCACCGTTCGAATGCCGCCCACTTTTTTATTCCCCACATGTTTCGTGGGGTTCTGGTTTTCTTCCCTGCCGCGTCGCACCCGCGTCTCACACCCGCACACACCTCCCTCTCCCGCAAAGCGTGGCAGACGTGACATATATATATATATATATATATATATATGTACACAGGCACACCGACACAGACACATACACACAGACACACAGCACAGCACACCTGCACAGCACAGCACAGCAGAGCCGATCACAGCACAGCACAGCACAGCACAGCACAGCACAGCACAGCTCAACGCAGCACAGCACAGCACAGCACAGCACAGCACAGCACAGCACAGCACAGCACAGCGCAGCACAGCACAGCACAGCACAGCACAGCACAGCACAGCACAGTAAAGTACAGCACACCGCAGCACAGCACAACACAGCACAGCACAGCACATTACATCACACCGCAGCACAGCACAACACAGCACAGCAAGCCTAGCAGGCGTGGCACTTTCTCGACACCAGAGGGGGTGCGCACAGGGTGGTCTCTCACCGCGGTCCCTACACGCGCCAATGTCGCAGGGCCTAGCAGGCGTGGCACTTTCTCGACACCAGAGGGGGTGCGCACGGGGTGGTCTCTCACCGCGGTCCCTATACGCGCCAATGTCGCAGGGCCTAGCAGGCGTGGCACTTTCTCGACACCGGAGGGGGTGCACATCGGGTGCGGTCTCTATGCGTTGCAGGCGCGCAGGGCACGGCAGGCACGGCACTTTCTCGACACGAGGAGGGTGCGCAGGGGGTGCGGTCTCTATGCGTTGCAGGCGCGCAGGGCGCGGCAGACGTGGGAATTCCCGACACCAGAGGGGGTGCACAGGGGGTGCGGTCTCTATGCGTTGCAGGCGCGCAGGGCACGGCAGGCGTGGCACTTTCTCGACACCAGGAGGGTGTGCAGGGGATGCGGTCTCTATGCGTTGCAGGCGCGCAGGGCACGGCAGGCGTGGGAATTTCTCGACACCAGAGGGGGTGCACAGGGAGTGCGGTCTCTATGCGTTGCCGGCGCGTCCAGCCATAATATAAGTATGTGGGGCACACCCTCACATGTTTCGTGGCCCCACGCTCCACCGAAGGCTCTAGTGTTGGTGTTCGCATGCGTTTCCCCAACCTAGTACAGTGTTTCATGGCCCCATAAGGGGCTCCACCGAATGCCCCAGTTGCGGCGTTCGCATGCGTTCTCCCACCCAGCACAGCGTTTCGTGGCCCCACTGGGAGCTCCACCGAAGGCCCCAGTGGCAGCATTCGCATGCGTTTCCCACACCCAGTACAGTGTTCCATGGCCTCACGGGGAGCTCCATCGAATGCACCAGTGGCGGTCTTCGCACTCGTTTCCCATAACCAGTGCAGCTTTTCTTGGCCCTATAGGGAGCTCGACCGGCGGCCCCAACGGCGGCGTTCGCATGCGTTTCCTACACCCAGTACAGTGTTTCATGACCCCATAAGCGGGGGTCCACCGAAGGCCACAGTGGCGGTGTTCGCATGCTTTTCCTTCACTCAGTACAACGTGTCGTGGCACCATAAGGAGCTCCACCGAAGCCCTCAGTGGCGGTGTTCGCATGCGTTTCCCCTTCCCAGTGTAGTGTTTCGTGGCCCCAACGGGAGCTCAACTGAAGGCCCCAGTGGCGGTGTTCTGTTCGCATGCATTCCCCCCGCCCAGTACAGCGTTTCGCTGCCCCGTGGGGAGTTCCACAGAAGGGCCCAGTGGCGGTGTTCGCACGCGCTTCCCCCACCCAGTGCACGGTTTAGTTGCCCCATGGGGAGCTCCACTGAATGTTCCAGATGCGGTGTTCGCATGCGTTTCCCTTACCCATTGCAGCGTTTCGTGGCCCCATAGGGTGCTTCACGGAATGCCCCAGCGGCGGTGTTCGCATGCGCTCCCCCCACCCAGCACAGCGTTTCGTTGTCCCACAGGGAGCTCCACCGAAGGCCCCAGTGGCGGCCCCTCCCCATTGCGGCGCACCCCTCACACGTTTCGCGGCCCCGTAGAAGGTTCCGCCTGAAGCACCAATGGCAGCGCCCACATGGCGGCCCCGCCTCACATGGGCACACCCTTTGCATGCTTCATGGCCCCATGAGGAGATCACCCGAAGGCGATACCCGAAACGACGATACTCACAACTGCATATGGTTTGGTCCATCGCCCAGATCATTTGCTTCATAACCATCCTGTGGTGTTGGGTCATCGTGTTGACGAGGCAGCGCCCCCGTTCGTCAGCGTTCTTCATTCTCTGCTTCTCTCCCCTGCTCCCTCACCCGAGCATCATCATCATCATCACCAGTATCATCATCTCCATCATCATCACCATCATCACCAGCATCACCATCACCACCACCACCACCGCCATCACCATCACCACCATCATCAGTACCATCACCATCACCATCACCGTCACCATCATCATCATCATCATCATCATCATCATCATCATCATCACCACCATCATCACCATCATCATCATCATCGTCATCATCATCACCTTCATCGTCATCGTCATCGTCGTCGTTGTCGTCAGTATTCCCAAGCATCTTGTGGTGTTGGGTCCTTGCTTTGGAGAGACGGTGTCCCGCGTCTCCTCTCCTCTCCTCTTCTCATCCTCATCTGTCTCCTCCCTGCCTAATAATACCCATCATCATCATCATCATCACCATCATCATCATCATTATCATCATCATCATTATCATCATCATTATCATCATCATCGTCATCGTCATTGTCATCGTCATCATCATCATCATCACCGTCATCATCGTCGTCATCATCATCACCATCATCATCATCATCAGCATCACCATCATCACCGTCATCATCATCATCATCACCATCATCATCATCATCATCATCGTCATCATCATCATCATCATCATCATCATCATCGTCATTACCATTATCATCGTAATCATCGTTCCCATCATCATCAGCCTTCCCACTATCATCACCATCATCATCATCACCATCATCATCATCATCACCATCAGCATCACTACCATCACCACTATCAACATCAGCATCAGCATCGACGCCAACATCAGCACTACATCATACTCATCGACGTCACGTCATCATCACCACCATCATCATCACGATTGCTGGCACCCCCCTCAGACGCTTTGTGGCTTCGGCATGACCTCACACTCTTCGTGGCCCCATGGGGGGCTCCACCGAGACCCTAGTGGCGTAGCCCGCATGCGTCCCAGCCACCCATGTCGGCACACCCCTCGCACGCTTCAGCTTCACCGAAGACCCCAGTGGTGCAGCCCGCATGCGTCCCAGCCACCCACTTCGGCATGACCTCACACGTGCCCCATAGGGAACTCAACCGAAGGCTCCAGTGGCGCAGCCCGCATGCGCCCCCGCCACCCATCTCGGCACACCCCTCACACGTTTCGTGGCCATTTAGGGAGCTCCTCTGAAGGCCCCAGTGGCGCAGCCCGCATCGGTTCTCGCCACCTCTTTCGGCACACGCACACACACACACACACCCAACACACGTTTCGTGGCCCCATAAGGTCCACGGTCGTGTTGACAGCGCCTGCATGGCGGTCCCGCCCCATTGCGGCACACCCTTCACGCGCTTCGTGGCCCCCAGAAGGAGATCAACCGAAGGCGATACTCATAACGACGGTACTCACAACTGCATATTGTCAGGTTCTTTGCCGCGCTATCCTTTTCGTTTGATCAACCATCCTGTGGTGTTGGGTCCTCGTTTTGAGGAGACAGTGCCCCGCGTTCCTCCCGCATTTTTTCTCCTTTACTTATCCTTCCCTCATCATCATCGTCATCATTATCATCATCACCATCATCATCATCATCATCAGCATCATCAGCATCTTCATCACCGCCACGACCATCATCACCATCACCACCATCACCATCATCATCATCATCATCATCATCATCACCATCATTATCAACTTCACCATCACCATCACCATCAGCACCATCAGCGTCCTCATCCTCATCCTCATCAGCATCATCATAAGCATCATCACCATCATCAACACCATAATCATTACCGTCATCATCATCATCGTCATCATCATCTTTACCATCGCCATCATCACCATCATCACCATCACCATAACCATCATCGTCATCAGCATCATCACCATCAGCATCCTCATCTCATCATCATCCTCATCCTCATCCTCATCTTCATCCCTCATCCTCATCAGCATCAATTTCAGCATCAGCATCAGCATCACATCATAATCAGCGACGCTACGTCATCATTACCATCATTGTCATCACGATCGGTGGCACATCCTTGACACGTTTCGTGGCCCCCAAGGGAGCTCCACCGAAGGCCCCGTGGCGCAGCCCGCATGCGTCCCAGCCACTCATTTGGGTGCATCCCTCGCAAGTTTCATGGCCCCATAGGGAACTCCACCGAAGGCTCCACTGGCGCAGCCCTCATGCGTCCCCGCCACCCGGTTCGGCACACCCCTCACACGTTTCGTGGCCGCTTAGGGAGCTCCACCGAAGCCCCCAGTGGCGCAGCCCGCATGGGTCCTGACCAGAGGGAGGGGATGGGGAGGGGGGAGAGCAGGGACGGGGAGCAGGCAGTGGCGGGAGGGAATGGGAGGTCGTGGAATGGAAGGGGAAGGAGGGGGCGGGAGAAGGGGCGGACCGGCAACGCAGTGGCAAAGTTGATTCATGCCGCCCGCGCCTGCTGCAGCGATGACCAGCCTTGCCGCTAGATGGTAGGCACTGCTGCCATCAGGAAGAGCCCTCGACGCGGCGCGCCGCCGGCGTCTCCGCCGACGCAACGTGCCTTATGATGCAACTCCCGGGAGGTTGTATCGAGCATCGGCGCTGGCATACCCGCGGTCGAAAGCCAACCTGCTGCGCCACAGTCTCGCTCCCTCTGGCCCAGGCCTGCTCTCCCGCCGAGCCTGGCTCCGCCCGGCCTGCTCCCGGGCTCCACTCGCGCCTTGCTGCCGTGGACTGCCCCCCCGCCCCCCCCTCCCATGTCGGGCTGATAGCTCCTATCAGGAGGGAAAGAAACACACAGACACAATTCATCGGCGATTCCCCAGAAAATATGGGAAAATATGGGAAGTGGGGGGGAAGACAAAACCCAGAAAATATGGAAAAATATGGGGAATCCTTTTATTTGTGTGTATTTATTTGCGTGTCCCAGTTCCCCTTCATCGTAGCCGTTCTCAGGAGGACCTCCCGCGAGCCTCCTCCTCAAGAGCGCCCCCGCGGCACCTCTGGCCGTGCCCCCGCCGCCATGGCGGCCGCGCTCGGCCTCGCCTCCCGCGGCGGCCCCCTGCCGCTGCCGCCCGCCGCGGGGCGCCCGGCGGCTCCTGGCGCGGCGGTGCCCCGGCGCGCGCCGCGGTGCCGCGGCAGCTCCGCGGGCCCCAGCACGGTGCCGACTCTCCTCGCCCCCCTCCCCCTCCCCTCCCTCTTTCCCTCCTGTCCCCCCCCTCTCCCCCCCCCCTCCTCCCCCTCTCCCTCCTCCTCCTCCCTCGCCCTCCCCTCCCTCTCTCCCTCCTGTCCCCCCCCCCCCCACCCCCCCCTCTTTCCTCCTCCCTCCCCCCTCCCTCCCCTCCTCCCTCCTCCCATACCTCTCCCTCCTCTCTCCCTCCTCGGCATCGCTCGGACGTGTGCATTTTTTTTCTCGGCGGGAGCCGTCGAGGACCATCCTGGACCATCGAGCAAGGAAACGCGCACGAAACCGAAAAATGCACAGGAAATGGACGTCCGAGCGATAGCAAGTTTCCCTCCTTTCCCCCCCCCCCCCCTCCTCCCTCCCCTCCCCCCCTCCCCTCTCCCTCCTCCCATCCCTCTCCCTCCTCTCTCCCTCCGCTCCCCTTGCCCCCTCCACAGCTGCACATGTTCGCGCCAGCGTGGGCCCCACACAGTGTGTTGCGGCACACTAGGTTCAGGAGAGGAAAAAACACACAGACACAATTTATCCTCGATTCCCCGTTAAAATATGGGAAAATATGGGAAGTGGGGGGGGGGGAGACAGAAACCTAGAAAATATATGAAAATATGGGGAATATTTTTATATGTGTGTATTTATTTGTGTGTCCTGGGGCCCCTTCATGGGTGATACAGTATATGTGGTGCAAGCTAGATGGTGCAAGCTATGTGGTGTACTTGGTGCATGCTGTGTGGTGCATGCTATGTGGTGTGTGGACTAGGTCGTGTAATCTATGGTCGGCACCAACGTTCTGATCTATGTTGTGAGAGCTATGTGGTGTAAATCATGTAGTGCATCCATGTGGTGCGATCTTTGGTGTGCGAGCCATGCAGTGCCATCTCTCTTTATAATGAGGTGCGGTCTATGTGGTGTAAGCTGTGTGCTGCAGTCTAAGTGGTTCAAACAATGTAGTGCGACACATGTAATGCGAGCTACATTGGTGCAATATATGCATTGTAATCCAGACGGTGTGGGCAATTAAAAGCGAAGCAACGCAATGCAAAGCAGTGCAACGCAATGTACTGTAAGGCAGCACAATGCAATTCAACGCAATGCAAAGCACTGCAACACAAAGCGAAGCAATGCACCTCAATCGACAGCAATGTAACGCAATGCAAAGTCATGCAAAGCAATGCAACGCAAAGTAACGCAATGCAAACACAGCAATGCAAAAACATGCAATGCAACTCAACTCATCGCACATCAGTGCAGCGCAATGCACATTCAGCAAAGCATTGTAACGCAATGCAAACACTGCAAAGCAACGCAGTACAAAGCAATGCGAGGCAATGCAGTGAACTGCAAAGCAATACAGAGCAACGTAATACAACATAATGAGACTTAATGAAGTGAAATGCAAAGCAATGCAGAGCACGCGCAGCAATGCAAAACAATACAACGAAATCGCCAGCAGTGAAGAACCATGGCCAGTCATGCAAAGCAATGCAAAGCAGTGCAGCGCAATGCAACGCAATGCAAAGCACTGCGAAGCAATGCAACGCAACACAACTCAATGCAAATCTGTGCAAAGCGATGCACATCAATACGAAGCACTGCAACACAATGAGAAACATTCCAAAGCAACGCCATACAATTCTCTGCGACGAAATGTACTGACATGTAAAGCAATGCGAACTACCACAATACAACGAAATGTGACGCAATCTAGTGACATGCAAAGCAATGCATAACACGCGCAGCAATGCAACGCAAGGCAAGTCAAAGCAATGCAATGCGAATCAATGCAGAGCAATGCAAGCCAGTGCAACGCACTACACTTCAAGGCGCAGCCCTGCAGCGCAGTGCAAAGCAATGCGCTGCACCACGGCACAAAGCAGCGCGACGCAGCGTGGGGACCCGCAAGACACCGCAGAGCCCGCGCGCACGGCAGCGCAGTGCACTGTGCTGCAGCGCAGTGCGGAGCAACGCAACGCAACTGCAGTGCGACTGTCGTGCACTGCCACGCGACTGCAGCACAAGGAGTCGGGGGGTGCAGCGGGGCGGCGGCGACTGGCCAGCACGGGGCCGCACGCGGGGCCGCACACGGGCCTGTCAGGTTGACTGCGACCGGTTGCGTTGCAGCGATCCGACTGCAACGGGGGGAGGGGGGAAGCAACGGGGTGGCGGCGACGGCGCTGCGGCGGCATGGCGACGAGGCGTCGACGGGGCGGCGATGGTGACCAGAAAGCGGCGGGCCCGACAACGGAGCCCAGTTCCTCAGAAGACAAGTAAGGTTTCCTACGCACAAGCGTCGGTTGGGGAATCATGAGTACTACTCTCTGCTCTCCCCTGACTCGGCCTCGAAGATATTTGGCCTCTCCGCGTATTTGTTTCACAGGATTTCGAACATTAGTTTCTTATGGTTCTCAAAATCCGATTGTTCTCGGTGTCTCCAAACGGTGCTCCAGCTGCAGCGTGGGCCTCAGTTTCGGATCGGCGTTTTGCCCTCGTCGTTCAGAATTGCGCTCGCGCCACAGCGAGGACCACTTTTCTGGATCCGAGTCCTCTTTGATATTGTTGTTGCTCCACTCATTTCCCCTCCTCCGCCTTCCCCTGGTCCTCCTGCTCCTCCCGCTCCTTCACTCCAGCTCCTGCTGCTGCTGTTCGTCCTCATGATGGGGTTCTCTTTGGAGTTCCAGGTCCGCTTCGACACGCGTCGGCGGATAGAGAAACAACAGCGCAATGGGAATACATGGGTGGGAGAGGTAGGATTTCAGATATGAAACGAGCGCACCTAGCCTGTCCTTTTGCCCCTCTCCTCCCTCCTCCTCCTCCTCCTCCTTCTCCTCTTCCTCCTCCTCCTTCCTGTGACCATCCTGTCCGAAGGTGGCGGCCGTTGTTTTTTATCATCGCCAGCGTTGCGTCGCAGATCCGGTCTGCATGTTCTGACCTTGTACGGCACGACGAGCTGGCAACCTCACACTCTTGTGGTACGTTTCCGTGAGCTAGCGGAATTTTCAGAGTCGTTCGGCCATTGGGTCTGATGTCGGATCCCGTGCCTGTCATTCGACGGGTGGGGCCCCCCCGGGGTTCGCAGAGCCTGTCGCGAGCCCCTGTGGGTCAAGACCGTCAGAAGAAGAGTGAGAGCGTGTCTCGACGGAACCCGCCGCGCCGAGATAGAGAAAGACCTCCTGAGGGCCCCGAAGATAACTCAGAGATCCACGGAGAAGCTGGCCATGGCCACCACGCGGATCAGAGGTGAGAAGGTTTGGGTTGCCTCCTCCTCCTCCTCCTCCTCTCCCAGCCGTCAGAGGTTTCAGGCAGGCAGGCTCCACGGAGCGACCCTCCGCTGCGCGCCGCCCTGGTCGGGGCCGACTTCCGCAGACGATGGGGCGCTCCCCCTGCGGAGCGGGACGAGGAGGGTGCTGCCGTCTGCCAGTCCGCCAGTACGGCTGTCACGCGTCTCTGGGTGCAGCCTCGCAGGCCTAGAGATTGACACCAACACCAATATCGGGGGTGTGCATCCACCGATGGAAGAAGAATCCGATATCGGTGATGGTGGTAGCGTTCCTCGGCAGCTTGAGGCTGCTGCTGCTGCGATCCGCCTGCATAGAGCCCCACTGTCCAGATTGAGGTCATGAGCACGACGACGCATGAAATCAGAAGGTCGAGAGGCTTGTGCACGGGGGCGGCCACGGCGAGTATGTTGGCCCAGCTTGTCATCGAGGGTGCTTTCGCTGCGTGCATGGACCGTTCATCCCGGCCAGAGTTTGGCTTCATGTTGGGCAGCCATTAGCTTCATTTTTTCGGGTTGGAGCGACAACCTTTTCAGCTTCGCGCCCACCGTGGACAAGGAAGCTTACATCATGGCGGCTGTAGAGAAAGTCCTGTGGAATGAGCACCGCCTGTTGGTGGCGCCGGACAGCCGGGAGATGATCACAGCGAACCGCGTCACTTTTGAGAGCTACGTCTTCCAGGACCCTTTCGGGTCTCGTTAGCATGTCCTGCCGACGGTGAGGGTCCTAGGGCCCGTCACTTGCACGGGTTGTGGTGCTGAATACGTAAATGCCGCAACGCACAGGACCATCGCAAGTGTCTGAAATAACTACCGTTTCCTGACTAACAGCTGCATCCCCATCAGTAGACGGCTACAGAAACTCAAGATGATGCTGGAGGTATCGTCAGAGCCAGGGCTTCGTCGTGGCTCCCGTTGCCCCCAAGCCAGGGCACAGAGATTTATTTAGATTGGTGCTAATCCAAGCTCGTCGCGTGGATGCTTCGGCTCCGCTGCGAGCCGAACGAGACGACGCAGCAGTTCTGCTCGCGCAGTAGCCGCGCTGTCAGTCAAGCAGATAGTTGGCGCGCAGTGGTCAAACAGTCAATTGTTTTCTTGCGTATCTTGGCTTTAACACGTGCAGCGACACCCAGGCTGCTGAGCAGCCAGAGCGGCGATCGAGCAAAACTACGATTGGGTCAATTCGCAATGGCGCATCCGGGTGTCTGCGCCAAGCAAGTCTTCGAATACCTTTTCCAGAAAGGGCGTGGCAGGGTCCACCTCTGGGATCAGAGTTTGGCTGTAGCTCCCGTTTCAATCCGACGGGGACGCGGGACCCTCACTTGATCTGGAAATTGGCAGGCGGGCTTTTGCGCAGCATGTAACAACAGAACAGGAGAAACTTGATCTTGAGTCACGGTGGCAATCGGGACACTCCGCCTCCGACGGGCGCATCATCATCGCCCTCCTGTATTTCCTACCCCTCCTTCGTCTCTTCGCCCCTTCTCTGTGTTCACCTTCCTCTCTTCTCCCTCCCTGCCTTTCTCTTTCTCCCCGCTGAAGGGGCGTGTGCCACATCCACTGGCTATATGGTTGAGGTCATTCATGCCCTGCCTTTCAACTTGCGCCTGATTGTCATGAGACGCTTGGCAGTCGATGCCTTTATGAAGCCTGCGATGCCGCTACTCCTCCGTCCTTCTCGATGTAGACTGAAGAGGATGAGGAGGAGGAGGAGGAGGAATAGGAGGAGGAGGAGGAGGAGAAGGAGGAGGAGGAGAAGGAGGAGGACGAGGAGGAGGAGGAGAATGTTGATGATGAGGAGGAGGAGGAGGACGAGGGGGAGGAGGAAAAGGAAAAGGATGCCAAGGAGGACGAGGGGGGATGACGAGAGAGATGATCATTAAGGTTTGGGTTAGGAGGGAGGAGGAAGAAGCAGGAGGATAAGGAGGAGGAAGAGGAGGAGGAGGAGGAAGAGGTTTGATGATGGGCAAGGAGGGAGGGATATACCAGGGGAAGACTCGAAAGGAGCATGATTCACATGATGATGGTGGTGATGGTCATGATGATTGCGGTGTTGTTGGTGGTGGTGGTGATGATGAACAGTGGTGATGATGGTGATGGCGATTGCGGTGGCAATGACGATCATGTGGATGTTCATGAATCCGATCGTGATGCTGATGCTGATGCTGCTGATGCTGATGCTGATGCTTATTTGGATGCTGATGATGATGACGATGATAATGATACTGCTGCTGCTGCTGCTGCTGCTGCTGATGATGATGATGATGATGATGATGATGATGATGATGATGATGGCGATGCTGCTGCTGATGATGATGATTCTGATGCTGATGATGATGGTGATGATAATGGTGAGGAGGAGGAGGAGGAGTAGGAGGAATACGATCAAGTTGAGGCGGATATTGTGGATGATGGGGCAACGGGGGGCGACGAACGGACACGCGTTGGAGGATGATACCGGGAAGGGGGAGGAAGGGGAGGGGTACCAGGGCAAGCGCAAAACGCATCAACGGTGTTGCAGTAAGCCCTCCCTCCAAGTTTTCTCTTCACGCGTCCCTGCAAGGTTTCCTTTCCATTTCGAGAAATCCCCAGTGGGAGACATGCTGTGCCAATACGCCGTGTACCCGGACTTCAACGCCGCGGATCAATGTGAATGTTGCGTCCTGGCAATTGGAGAGGCCTGACGGCCGGTGCCGCCGACCCTGATCGAAAGGGCTAGGAGTGGGATGAGGAGGAGGAGGAGGAGGAGGAGGAGGAGGAGGAGGAGGAGGAGGAGGGGGAGGGGGAGGCCTGGCAATTCCGGGGGCTTCCGCCGTACGAGTCTTTGAAACGCTACGATCTGATCAGACGAACTGTGCGCGGCGCCGAGGCGAGGGCAGCATCTTGAAAACGGGCCGCCATCCACCCGGGAAGCTGTCGCGAACTCTCAATACGAATGTGCGCGGCCCTCGGCTGGGGGCCGCATTTTGAAAACCGCCCGCCCTCCATCCTGGAAGCTGTTGCGAATGCCAGGGGTGATGATCACACGTGGTGAGGAAGGCTCTAGCGAAACGTCTGGCCCCCCCCCCCTACCGACACGCCAGGAGGCGCGGCAGGGAGGAGCTGTTTGTCAGAAAAAAACGATGGGTGAGGAGGAGGAGGAGGTCGAGGAGGACGAGGACGAGGAGGAGGAGGAGGCGAAGGCGGAGGAGGAGGAGGAGGAGGAGGCGTGAGTATGTCGCCCCCCCTCCCCTGCAGGCGTTACCAGTGCCGCGTAGCATCAGGCAGCAGGCAGATGTTTGGGCTCCTGGGAAACAGGCTTTGCTCCCGCCGGCGGCGTTTGTCCCAAGTACCATCTTGCTTTTCCAGAAAAACTTCCTAGCATTTGTTTCATGGTAGCGGAGCCCGTGGTTCGCCACAGGGGCTCCAGAACAGAGATGGCAGCGGCGACCGCCGCGGCGATTCCACTGGACCCCCAGAACAACGACCTTGGTTGCAATGTATCATGACTTGAAGTGCGTGAAGCCTGGTACACCTTAGTCACAAACCGATTCGCGCAACTGTGCAGTGCCAGTTATGGAAGTGGGGATTTCAGGTATACTGCCACCGCCCTCGAATCCAATCACGAAGGGATAGGGTTATTCTTCGAGCACAGCGCCAAGCTTGGTGCCAGGACGGTTGACGATGATGAGGCATTCACGGTGTTGCTGATGGGCTACATGATGCATTTTATTCTGATATCGGGCATCAGCCGCAATATGAACTGCGAGGAATAGTTCAACAACTTGAAGGAACCCGTCAGGACAGAATTCCAGCGTCAATCGAACGCGTCGGAGCATGTTGCCAACACCGCCGGATCTATGTAGTCCGCTGGGAGCACGAGGGCTGGAGGAGATGGAAGCAATCCCGTTAGCGAATACAGGGCCGTGCAACAGGTAAAAACATCTTCGGGTGACTGGACCACATTCGGGGAGTGGAACGAGACGTTGTTGAGCGCGCTCGCCCACATGCATGGCTATCGACAAATCCCGGAATTATCGAGGACGCCATCGGCGCATCACGTGCCGCTCCGTGGGAATTTCCCGAAGTGGTGCGCTGCGACGCGGCGCGTATGCCAGTTATGAAATGGCCGTCGGCCCATCCCGCCACCGTGCTTGGGTTTTGGGTGGGAGTCCTCATGGACGCTCCTTGGGGTCTCTCGAGAGGACTCTCGGGGGCTATTGTGGGGAAATTTAGGGGCCTCTTGGGGGTCTTCTGAGGGCTTTTTGGGAACCTTTTGGGGCTCTCTTGGAGCCTCTTGGGGCTCTCTTGGAGCCTCTTGGGGGCTTCTGGGGGCCTCTTAGAGCCTCCTGGGGGACTCCTGGCACCGACAGCTCGAAAGGTTCATTCGGGTTCCCCTTCTGGGCTCTCTCTTGGGGCCGTCCTGTGGCCCCTCTTGGGCCGTTTCAGGTACCTCTTCGGCCGTCTTGGGGCCCTTTTGAGCTGTCTTGGAGCCCTCTTGGACGCTTGTTGGGCCGTCTTGGGGCGATCTCGAGGTCTCTTGGGCCGTCTTGGAGGCGTCTTGGGCCTTTGGAGGCAATCTTGGGCTGCTTGGAGCGATCTGGAACCGTCGGGGGGCTCTCTTGGACTGCTCCGGACTCTCTTGGACCGGCTTGGGGCGCCCTTAGGTCGTCCCTGGGCCGTTTGAGACCTTGAGGTCGGGGGGGGGGGGGCGGCGACAGAATGGGGCCCCTTCGGAGGGACTTTCAGGGAGGTTTTTGACCAGGCACTGGCGAGTAGGGCCAAAGACTGTTCCAAACACTCTGTCAGAGGTCTCGCACGGCCCACACCGCAGGGCGGGAGCGGCCCGATCCGTAAGGGCTTCGCCCCCTGCCGCCGGTCCCTTCTTTCGGAGAATGGGCCATAGAAGAGGGAAGTCATGAGGCTTTGGCTTCACCGTGGAGCAGCGTCGGAACTTCATGCGAAGACGATGGGTAATTGACAACACGAATGGAGATTGCGAGTCTATTGTTGTACTCGCTGTTCTATAAATTTCAGAAATGTGGCAAATCCTTTGTGTTTTTTGACCCGGACCCTACGGATCTGCGTGATGGGGTGCCGCCGAATTTCAGAAATGTGGCAAATCCATGTGTTTTTGGACCCTGACCCTTTCGATTTGCGTGAGGGGTGCTACCGAACTTTAGAACTGTAGCAAATCCCAAATGTTTTTGCACCCTGACTCCGCCGATCTGCGTGAGGGGGTGCCACCGAATTTCAGAAATGTGGCACATCCTTTTGTGTTTTTGCACCCTGACCCCGCCGATCTGCGTGAGAGGTGCCACCGAATTTCAGAAATGTAGCAAATGCCTGATGTTTTTGGACCCTGATTCCGCCGATTTGCATGAGGGGTGCCATCGATTTTTAGAAATGTAGCGAATCCTTTGTGTTTTTGGACCTTGACCCCGCCGATCTGCATAAGGTGTGCCACCGGATGTCAGAAATGTGGCAAATCACACCCCGCCGATTTGCATGAGGGGTGCCACGGAATGTTAGAACTGTGGCAACTCCCCTGTGATTTTGGACCCTGACCCCGCCGATCTGCGTGAGGGGTGTTAGTTTTTACCCGCCCCAGCAATTCAGTCAATACGATTTCTCCGTGGTAGAAATGCCCGTTTTGGGCCTCCCCCCCTCGCGCGGACCATCAACAAGGAACAATCAGCATTAAGAAGTCAACAAGGAACAACAAGCAACAATAGGCAGAACTGTAACAGTGGAGAGTGGAAGCTGCAACTGGTACATGAAACTACGAACCTTCGCCCTACAGCCTGGTGGCCCCGCAAGGGGGCTGGCGGATTTGAACAAGAAACTTGAAATCATGAACGAACGGGGCGTTGCCCGATGAAAAAAAACAGCTCGACAAATATGAGGGGCCGGAGGTTCACATTGCGTAAATACACCAAAACACCACCACTAACCAATGCATAAGTTGACGCTAAAGGATCTTATGAGTCCGATGAAGACGACCACGCGAAGTTGGACGAGGACCTCCTGGTATTTGTTCAATGACGAATTGGAAGGGACGGAATCTCTTGGGAAAACTCACTGGTTTGCACGAGGGAGACGGTTCATTGGTTTACCATGAATGATAAGATGTGTACTCGGCCGTCACAGAAGTCACGCTTTCATGCAAGATGGACCTGCCCAGGGATCCAGAAAAACC